GGCTGAAACGATGCAGGGCCTGTGGGCCCCGGATGTCAGGCTTTTGGGGTGAACCGTCATGGGGTCTGTAGACCCTTATTTCCAGGCCTTGAGCCTGAAATTCAGGCTTCCAGCCTGAACGACGCAGGGCCTGGAAAATGACCCTCCTGTGCAGGCGCAACATGTAACAACCCCCCCTCCTTATGAAGTCAAGCCGGGTCGAGGGCGCAGCCGACGATCTGAAGGTGGAACCTGAACGCGGTTGCGGCGTGGAGCCGAAGATACGGGTTTGCCTTGCATCTTTCGTTCATACCGTACGAGAACATCTGGAGTTGTCGCTTAGAGTTCTGCACGGGTCAACCAGCGGTCGGCTCGGTGGGTGCAATACGCAAAGTGTACTTGATACTTGGTCGGCTTGTTGCCGTAGCATCGCTGGGAAATGATGTCACCGACCTCCTGAAAGCCGTCCATAGAGGGTGGGTCTTGCGATCGTCGCCCGGGAAAGTCATCCTGGTCTGCTGGTGTGTACAGCGTCAACTTGGAGCAATGGAAAACCGGGTAGACGGGCAAGTGGGCGGGCACCTGAACTGTGAAGGAAGGCCCCTCAGGTGCATCCCCAGCAGGTGCTACAATCGGCCATGGCCCCATCAATTTCAGGAGGAGCTTGCGAGAGATATCCTGCTCAACGCTGAATTCCGCGGCGGAAACCCACACGAGGTCGCCGACGCGGAATGGACAAGGAAGACGCTGGCGATTGGCCTGCTGGCTCATGCGTTGCTGCGTCTTTTCCATCTGATTGCGTACCTTGACAAGAAGCTCTTGCATCCGACGCAAGAAAAGGAGATGGTCGTCGCTCTCGGCCGTGCGTGGAACGGTGGTGTCCAACAGAGAAGTGACCGGAGAGCCATGCTCAAACTCGAAAGGCGACATCCCAATAGCCGGGTGGATGGACGAATTGTAGGCCAATTCGACATCCGGCAGCCGCTCAACCCAATCCTTCTGATCGGGACGGATGAGAGTGCGAAGGAGAACCTGTGCCGTCTGGTGCGCCCTCTCCGTCTGGCCATCCGTCTGAGGGTGGCGAGCTGAACTAGGCTTGAGAGATAAGCCCCATCGTTTGGTGAGCGCCAACAAAAAATTAGACATGAACCGAGTGTCGCGGTCGCAGATGATTTCCTTGGGGTAACCCTTGGTTCAAATCCAACCGGCGTAGAGAATCTCGGCCAACTCAGATGCCTTGGCATGATAGCGACAAGGCAAAAACATGGCAAACTTGGTGAGTCGATTGACTACCGTGAGAATCCCATCCACACCGGTCTTGTGATTGGGGAATGGTCCAGTGATATCCATGGCAATCGCCTCCCGTCGGCGCAAGGGAACCGGTAGTGGTCGCAACTCGCCATACGGACGATGATTGCGGGATTTGCAACGTCGGCAAATCTCGCATGACTCGCAATAGCGTGTGACGTCGTCGAGAAGACCGGGCCACCAAAATCGCTCGCGAAGTCGGCCAATCGTTCGATTGACGCCAAAATGTCCGGTGGCGGAAGCATCGTGGAACTCGCCAAGAAGCCGTGTACGCAAGTGAGGGTCACTCGGTACGCAAAGAAGATCCTTCCCCCGCGAGTGGACAAGCAAATATCCCTCCTGGATACGATAGTGAGAAGGTGCCGGATTGGGCAAGGAACAATTTGCGTACTTGTCACGAAACTCGGGGTCGGCCTGGTAGCCGCGGATAAAATTGTCCCGCAAGTCGTTATCAATCTCGAAAGTCGAGTAGACGGTGGTGCAATGGTCCGGACGTCGTGAAAGAGCATCCGCAAAACGGTTTGACTTGCCCGGAATGTGATCGGGGAAGAAGTCAAACTGGTCAATGAAGGCCGTCCACCGGGCAATGGTGCTGTTGATTGTGTCCTGGGTCTTGTAAAAGACCAAGGGATTGTTGTCCGTTACCCATCGGAACTGCCGTCTACCAAGAAGGAAATGCCGCCAGCGCTTGAGTGCGTGTACGAAGGCCAATAATTCCTTCTTCCTCGCGTCATCAATAGAGTGCACGGCGGGCACCTTCTTGTTGAAATACTCGACCGGGTGCCAGTCCACGCCATCGTGTTGCTCGAGGACAGCGCCAATACCATAGTCGGACGCGTCAGTAGTGACGCGTGTGGGCAATAGCGGGTCGTAGATTCGCAAGACCTCCGCTGACAAAAGTGCAGCTTTGAGAGCCAAGAAAGATGATCGCGCATCCTCGTCGAAGTCAAACGACCGATCCTCGCATTGAAGCTTGGTCAAGTGGGCCGCGATCTTCGAATAGCCCTTGATGAAGCACTGATAGTAGCCGGCAAGACCAAGAAACGAACGGACATCTGTGACGTTACGCGGCTCCGGCCACTCCTGGATAGCTTGAATTTTCTCCGATAGCGGGCTGATGCCCTTTGGTGTGACAAAATGGCCCAAGTACTCAAGCTCTTGCCGGACAAACTCGCACTTGTCGCGGTTGGCTTGGTACTTGGCACGGCGGAGCATCTCCAACACACATCGGAGATGCTCAAGATGGTCCTCCAGAGTCCGGTTGTAGGCGAGAATGTCGTCTAGGTAGACCAGCACGAACCGATCCAACATAGCAAGAAACTCGTGGGTCATGGCCGCCTGGAAGGTTGCCCGGGAATTGGTGAGGCCAAAAGGCATGACCACCCACTCAAAATGCCCATACCGCATCTTGAATGCGGTCTTGTAGCAATCATTCGGGCGTATCGAAATCTGATAATAACCCGACTTCAAGTCCAACTTGGAAAAGAACTTAGCACCGCCCAGTCGCTCAAGAAGATCGTCTATACGAGAAAGAGGCCCCGCATTTTTCACAGTTTGCGCGTTGAGCTTGCGGTAGTCGATGCACAGACGTAGATCCTTGTTCTTCTTCCTTACGAAGAGAACTGGTGCTCCATATGGGGAGCTGCTCGGGCGGATCCAGCCCTTAGCCAACAAGTCGTCGAGTTGTGCGCGAAGGACCTCCAGATCCTCCTCGCTCATCCGATAGATGCAACCTTTCGGCGGCACGGCACTGGCCTCAAGAATGATCTCGTGAGAGATCGGCCGATCCGGCACCACACCGGTAGGTGACTCGAAGATGTCGGCGAACTCATCAAGCAGCCGTATCACGCGGGGGTCCGAAGACAAGTCCGATGGTGAAGAGTCGGCTACCGCGCTAGTCCGCAAGAAACATAGGCCTATCTCTTCGGGTTGCTCATGTGCACATGTAGTTCGGAACGATTTGGAAGTCACGACTTGGCACCGGATCAAAGGGTGCGGAAGAGGAATAGTACACGGCACCTCGGCGCCGAAGGCGTCGCGAACGGTGAGAGTCCGCTAGTGAAAATTGACCGTGTGATCCGCACTTGCAAGCCAAGGCATTCCCAAAATGATATCGAAGTCCGTGTCCAAGATGTCGAACGTGACCGGTTCGCATGCATGAGGTGCGAAGTACACCGGTACGGCCTCGGTGTAACGGTCGAGAAGTTGTTGCGTCTTTCCATCCGCCAACTTGATCGCCGTCGGATTTGCCTTCCTCCGAACCTGCGCGCCGAGGCCAGCCCTTTGCATAAAAGTTTGGCTCATGAAGTTGCGAGTCGCGCCGCTATCCAGCAAAGCGCTGCAGGACGCCTGCCCAACTTGGATGTGAACATACATCAGCGGTGCATTATTGTCATCGTACCGCTGCGTGCGAAACTCGCGGGCCACCTTGGTAACATATGTCAAGATGTCCCCCACCGCGACCTCATCATCCGTCGGCGAAGTTGGTGGTGCATAGAAGGACAAGTACTTGTGAAGATGGGCACAGAGTGCTGCGCATTGCGGTCCCGGTAAGCGACCCGTGGTCGGGAGAGGAAGCCATGCGAAATCCCCAGACTTGAGCGGGTCCAATTCCTCTATGTTGAACCCGCGCGCCAAATCCCGTGAAGACTCACTTGAAGACGAAGAAGAACCGTTGCCGGACGGAGAAGATGTCGCACACACGTCTTGTCCTTGAGCAAAAGATCCCAACGCCGGAACGAGCCGGGCAACATAGTCCTAAAAAGAATCGAGAAGAGGACTATCGACTTGCATATGCGCCCCGGAATGAAGGCCGGTCACTCGCGAAGAAACCGGTTCCGAAGGCATCGAGAGTATCGTCGACTCACTCTCGGCGGCGCTCAGTTTCCCTATTTGCCCTTCCCCTTGGTAGGGCAGCCTGCTGTCTCGTGGCAGTCGCTGTTGCACCACAGGCAGTAACGGTACTTCGTGCGTTGCTTGTAAGCTTGCTCCGAAAGACCGTAGGGGGTCTAGGGCCCCTGAGCTACTGCGTCGGGCTCAGGGTTTGATGTGGTGTTTGTCTTCGATTTGCCGCGTCCTCGGCCTCGGCCGAGGCGGCCACCATCCCGGGCAGCTGCGAGTCTGTCTCCTTCATTGGCAGACTACGCCTCGCTAGATTGGCTGCTTGGCGATGCCGCCGCAACCACGGCCACCTTGGGCCGATGCTAGTCCTTGCTCGGGCCTGCCGCAGCACGGGTGAGGTTCTTCGCCTCCTTGTTCGTGATGATAATCTATGCGGCCTTGCCGAACAGTTGCGTCATCGTTGTCAGTGTGTCCTCGACATGCGTCAAGGCGTTGCTCAACGTCGGGCACGACCTCGAAATGAAGCAGTGCTTGATGGCTTTGAAGCCCATCGGGAGACTTGGGACGGATGTCAAGCGTTGGTACTTGGCAATCCAGTCGACGCTTGGCAGCGAGCCTTGCTCGAAGGTCATGAGCTTGTCCATGGCCTTGATCTCCGGCGGCTCCACTTGGAACCGCTTGTGCCATGCTACCTTGAGGTCTTCCCAGTTAATCTTCGTGTGTAACTCGGCAGCGACCAACCCGTACTGGGACAAGAGATTGTCCAGCCATGTCTGGCATGCGCCTCCCGACAGGTAGTATAAGTATGCGTGGTGCTTGCATTCGCTGACGAGGTGCAGCTGCAACGTGAGTTCAAACTTGCGGAACCACTGAACTGGATCCGTCTTTGTTGAATCGCAGAAGATCTCCTGACCGTCAAACTTGGGAGTTGACTCGCGCTGTCCCGAACTCAGGCTGGTGGCGGTAGCACAGACCCGCTGCTCCAATTGTTGAGTAGCGGTTTGTTGTAGTCGTGCGCCGTCCTTGAGTGTGCTGGCATCAGTCTCCAATGCGTCCAGGCGGTCTAATGTGTTGGAGGAGCTTGCCACAGGGGCGGCGGCTGGTCGTTGCTCCAGCTGCTGTACGCGACTGCGAACACTCTTGACTTCGGCATCGAGGCTGTGAATGTTCTCCTGCTGCGCGATGCATGTCGCCAGGAGGTCCGTGAAATGGGAGAGGAGGAGGGCAATCTTGGTCTCGCTCTCCTCCATCTTCCCTGTCTCCGCCTAAGTTCGCCATTCCGCTGCCAATCTGAGTAATGCTTGCTCCCCGATGAAAATCTTTTCACGCCGCTTCAATCGTTCTTCATCTGCAGCCTTCGTTGCTGCCTCAGCCTGCAGACGCTGGTGTTTAAGAGCTAGCAGTCGTGCCTGTTCGGCACCCTCCGGCTTCTTCTTCTCTGCGGCTGCTACTGCATCCGCCCGCTGCTTGGCTTCTATGATCAAAGCCAGCATGCGGTCCTGATATGCCTCCGCCGTTTCCCCCGGTTTCTGGTCCATGACGGCTGTCAGCGAGCGCGTCAACATAAACAGGTCCGCGTGGCTGACGCGGCACTCCCTGTTGACGTGGCCTGCTGATGTGGTCCGCAAATGTGGTCTGCTGATGTGGTCTGCTGACGTGGTCTGCTGACGTGGCCCGCTGACGTGGCAACTTACCAATGCCACCACAGGAAATACCCGGAATGGATAAAGAAGATGAGATCAGAGATGGCAAACAACGTAGATAGGGAGGGTGGGTGGGGTAGATCGCCCAGATTAGGAGCCGCTAATCAAAACAGAAAAGGTTGAACTTTGCAAAAAAAATTCTGAGGGACAAAGAGAGAAAAAAAAATTTGTTTGCAAGTTCAGCAAACTCCCCCAATCCCCGAAGTACGAAATACAACTGAAAAAAAAAATTCGACTTCCAAACTGCAAATGATTACACAAAAATTTGGATTTGCTTTAATGAGAGTATGCGCAGCTTGGAAAGTAGTACTGCCAGAGAGATTTCCCGAACCGTTTTGAAAAAAAATGAACTTCGAAAAAAATATTCCGAATTTTTTTAAGTACGGGAAACTGCAAAATCGAGATTTTCAAAAAGGGATATTCTGGATTTCCAACAGCGAAATTTCGACAAAACCACAGAAATTTCAGGAGTTGTGCTACTGCGATTTTTCCACAATCAGAAATAACGAAAAAAACGAAATCCAGAAAAAAAAATAAATTCAATTTTTGGCAGTTGGGTCAAAATCGTGCTTTTGGGGATTAACTAGTGTGCTCAACCAACCAATAAGTCAGTCGAGTCTTCTTCACCAGCTAACTACTCGTACACGTGTCAGATCAGGTAGTCCTGATTCACGTGCGGTGCTCCGGTACCAACTGTTACATGCCCAGTCGGGCACTGAGAATTCAGCCAAGAATCCGCATTGTGATGAAAAGGACTGAATGGACAGTGGACTGCTAACGTAATATCAACAGACAGTGTACATCCCGATACATGAACAATGACATTTAATAGCACAGCGGAAGACTTGGAGATAAGCCTGACCTGACCTGGACTGTTACGACATCCCATCATACATCACACATGTGAGAGGGAGGGAAGGGACCGTCTACATAGACGAAGGTCCCTCCTGC